AACCTGCCATTAGCAACAACATACCTAGAAGCTACAATTAGCACAAAAGTAACTAAAAGCTATAATTATTCAAATCAAAGCTCAAAGCCATCATTCATTCTCTTTACCCGCTTCTTCCTTTTCGGGTCGCAGGGGTCACTGGCGCCCATGTCCAGCCATCACTGTGCGAGAGGTGGGGGACACCTGGGCAGGTCTCAAGTCCGTCACAGCTCAAAAGCTCTAAGCTAAATATATCAAAACAATAGCTAAAAGCTGCAATTAGCAACAACATAGCTAGAAGCTACAATTAGCAAGACCGTATCTAAAAGCTGTAATTATTCAAATCAAGGCTCAAAGTCAAATGTAGCAAAACAATAGCTAAAAGCTGCACTTAACAAGACAGTAACTGAAAGCTACATGTTTTTCATTCATTCAACATTTATTTAGACAGGTAAATCCCATTGAGCCTCGAGGACTCATTTACAAGAGAGACCTGATTTCAACAAAGAACGATGACAACAATGGACAACAGCAACAACAATAAACAGTTATAAAAAGTCATACAACTTTTTATTTATTTTTTTACAAATAGGATGGCTAAAAAAAGAAAAAGGTATCAAAACAATAGCTAAAAGCTGCAATTGGCAAGAACATAGCTAGAAGCTAGAATTAGTAAGACCGTATCTAAAAGCTGTAATTATTCAAATCAAAGCTTAAAGCTAAATGTAGCAAAACAATAGCTAAAATGTGCAGTCAGCAAAACAGTAACTGAAAGCTAAATGTAGCTAAAAGCTAAAACTATTTAAATCAAACCTCAATGCTAAATGTAGCAAAATTATAGCTAAAAGCTGCAGTCAGCAAATCAGTAACTAAAAGCTAAATATAGCAAAACAATAGCTAAAACCTGCCACTAGTAACAAAGTTCATGCTCAATCATCCAGGTACCAAACCCAATAATTCTCAGTCGGGTCATCAGGACAGTTTCTTTAGCTAGAAGCTACAATTAGCAAGACAGTAGCTAAAAGTTAAAATGATTCAAATCAAAACTCAAAGCTAAATGTAGCAAAACAATAACTAAAAGCTGCAGTCAGCAAGACAGTAACTGAAAGCTAAATGTAGCCACAGCTAAAATTATTTAAATCAAAGCTCAACACTAAATGTAGCAAAACAGTAGCTAAAAGCTGCAGTCAGAAAGACAGTAACT